GAATTCATAATTACATGTCTTGGGGTGGTTAAGTTTAGGTGCAGCCTGACTGTGCTAAGCAGTGCCCAGAGAGCTGGTAAAACATTATTTCTGGGTTTGTCTGCGAGAGGGTCTTGGAAGAGGTTAGTATTTGAATCAGTAGACTTGAATAAAGAAGATAACCCTAATCAATGCAGGTGAGCATCATTCAAAGTAAATAAATAAAACAACAACAAAGAAAGGAAAAAGTGAATTCACCTCTCAGGTTGAGCTGAGACATCCATCTTCTTCTGTGCTCTGACATCAGAGTTCCTGGTTCCTAGGTTTTTGGACTCAGACACGGAGTTATGCCATTGGTCTCAAGATTGTCAGGCCTTTGAACTCAGACTGAATTATATCACCAGGTTCCCTGGTTCTCCCACTTGCCGACAGCAGATTGTGGGACCTCTCAGCCTCTCAAACCACATGAGCCAATTCCTATAATAAATCTTCTGTAATAAATCTATAAATAAATATCTGTATGTATCCTACCTGTTCTGTTTCCCTGGAGAACCCTAACACATGGCCTGAACTGAGAGAGAGTGGGTACTTTTAACTTACAATACACTGGAACTTTATTAAAATAAATTTGGCTTTGAACTTCCTGGAAAATAAAACTTTTGTTATCAGGGCTAACAATTTTCCCCTTTTCCTTTTTATATTAGGATAGAGTACCAGGAGAAAAATGAACAATTTCATAATCTCTTAGGACATCCTGCCAATGTTTACTGCAAAAAGTAAGATCAATTTTACCTGTCAATAACAGTATATAAACTGTGCAGTTTTAACACACTTTGTCAAAATAGGCTGTTACCACATTTTGCATTTCATTTCAGTCAGAATAAACTATGTAATCCACAGTAATGAGCAAGCCCCAAACCTCAGTGATTTACAGCTTAGGTGTATATCTTGCTCAAACTATATACCTTTTGTGGGCTAAATGGGCACTTTGCTCTGTGTCATCCTTTCCAGAATCCTCCCCCCTACCCCAGGTGAGCTATGGAGAGTTTTGCATTAGCAATTAAATGTTTTGGCCTAGAAGTGAAAATTATCATTTATGATCACATCCCAATTAGCCATAACTAATGAGTGAAGTCAATCACAATTTGCCCAGGAAATGCAAATCTACCATGGATTTCCTTATTAGGAAGAGAGCTAGACAATACTTCCTAATCAGCACTAGGATTGTTACAAATTTTCCCAAGTTTCACAGCTGAAAAATGACAAGTTGGTTTGTCTTACATTTATATTACAAGAGAGAGTGAGAAATTTTTGTCTGAATTTATTGTTCATACTCATTTGTTCTATATATTAAACTGAGTGTGTTGTTGGATCCCAGTAAAAAAGTTGGTTGTTCCCATGTTAACATCAAGAATTGCCATTACCTCACCTTCCCCAAGAAATTCCATGCAGGGAAATATTCTGGAGGACAGTGATCACTTGATCTGCAACACTATAAACAACACATCTTAGAACTGTTTTAGTAGAGGCAGTGACTATTAATAGTGTTTGGTAAACTAAGATTTATACTTACACCAATATAACATTAGTCACTCTATGTAACTTACTCTGCCAAAGGTACTATTTTTTTCCAAGGTAGGTATGTTTAGTTAGGCTTCTTTGAGTTGAAAATGACAGAATTCTAAATTTAAAAAAATTAGTTTGCACACCCAGCATGGAGCCTAACATGGGGCTTGACCTCACAATCCTGAAATCAAGACCTATGCTGAGATCAAGAGTTGCATGCTTAACTGACTGAGCCACCCAGCCTCCCTGAAAGTGACAGAATTCTAGTTCAGACTGGTTTCATGAAATAAAAATGTATGGCTTCAAGTAAAAATTATGGTGGCTCACTAGGTTTAGGTGTGGTTGGATATTTGTGGACAAATGACATCACCAGAATTCTCTCTTCTTTCCATCTCTTATGTTTGCTCTTCTCATGTTGATCCTTATAGGTTTTCTCTACATGGCTGCAAAGAGAAACTTTGCAGCTTATGGATCAGCTTTCAAACCTGTATCATCCTTGGAACTAGGAATCTCAGAGAATAGGAAAAGATTTTCCTTTTTCTACATTCCTATCAATCATCAAAAGGCAATGCTTAAACTTGGTTGAAAAATAGACCCAGAGGACAAACCTCTCTCTGTAGGGCCATGGGATATACTGATTGGCTAGCTTTCGTTACATCCTATTATAGGCCAAATGCTGTTCTTCCAAAATTCATGTATAGAAGTTCTAACTCCTGGTACCTTATAATGTGACTATACTTGTTGAGATAGTTTCTTTAGGGAGGTAATTAAGTTAAAATGAAGCCATTAGGGTGGGCTCAAATCCAATATGACTGATATTTTTATAAGAAGAGGAAATTTAGACACAGACATGTACAGAGGGGAAGACCGTGTGAAGACATGGGGAGAAGGGCATCTGCAACCCTAGGAGTGAGGCCTCAAAATAAAACCAACCCTGCTGATACATGGATCTCAAACTGCCAGCCCTTAAAACTAAGAGAAAATAAATCTCTATTGTTTAAGGCACCCAGTCTTTGGCACTTTGTTGTGGCGGCCCTAGGAAACTAATACACATTCCCAATCCTATGGTGTGATAGGGTAGATGTGGCTCTTAGATTGCCAACCCAACCTCCAGAAGAGGAAACAGCCAAAGTTCTAAGGTTCAAAGAAGGAGAGAATTGCCAGTGTTCCCACAAATGGAGAGTACCAATCTGCCTTGACCCAAAGGTCCTGATTTCACAGCACCATTCTGGAAAGCTAATTTATTATTTATGATAGATTTCTCATCAAAATTGTTCAAAAAATTATAAACCTCATTTTCAACCACCACAATTTGGTATAGGTTGGAATGCCAGTAGAGCATAGTGTTACAAGGCTTTTGGATCGGTCATGTCTGGATTTAAACACCGAAACCATCTATTTACTACTAAGATTACTCTGGGAACTTATTTGAGCCTGTTTCATCACTTATAAAAGGGAAATAATGATAGTACTTTATGCTTACCTTTGTTGTGAAGATTGCTTAAGTTAATTAATGTAAGATTCTTAATATAATGTCTAATATAATAATAGAAATAGTACTTTATGCTTACCTTTGTTGTGAAGATTGCTTAAGTTAATTAATGTAAGATTCTTAATATAATGTCTAATATAATAATAGAAATAGTAAATAGTAATATTGTTTGCATTATATCTACCATGACTGTTATTCTTGTTATGTATAGACTGTTCAACACACTAAAATGGCCTAATTCCATATAAGTCACTCAGAGTTCTGAATTTTAGCTTCACTTTATCATTGACATGTAAATGAAGGCCATGGATATAAAATCTTCAAAGCTTGTCTTGAAGAATATTTTGTGAAGATAATAGAAATTATACTTGTCAAATTCCACACTTCTCATTGTGGAATATCTTGAATTTGAGGTACCTGTGTGATAACCAGATGCAGATATCCAGCTTACAGCTGGAGCCTAGATACTGTACCTAAGAACAGAGGTCAGGACAGTTGATATTAATTCAGGAGTCATTTGTAACAATTATGTCAGAGATGACAAATTGGCAACCTTGAGGAATGCATTTTTTCCTCTACTAAGTAGATTTTAACAATTAAATGGGTTACCATGTAATATTGTCAGGGAGGAAGACCTTACTCTAACCTATGGTTCTCCTGGATGGCCTTAGAATCCAACTGATATGAGACAGATTAACATGAGAAAATCAAATTTAATAGGCATACATACAGGGAATCTACAGGCACATTAAATTCTGAAGATAATGAGGCAACAGGAAGCTTATATGAGCTAAGGGAGGGGGTGAGGACAGGAGAAGGCTCACCAGCAGGAAGGTGAAGGAAGATATTTGGAAAAACAAGGTTGTCCTATTATGCAGATAAGTTTCTTAGGTAAAGGAGAGTCTTCAAAAATAGCTCTCTTCCTGGTACAGGTTCTCCTTTCCATTGTAAATGTAGGCAGTTATGGCAGAGACAGAGAGCTTTCCCTGCATCTGCTGGGTTTTTATGACTTTTAACTCAAAATAAACTTTATGCCAAACTGGCCCTTCTTGGGGCAGCCTGCCCTGGGTCCCTAACATTATCATCTTATGTTAAATACATATGTACATGCATACATATCTAAATAAATAAACAAATGGATTACCATTTACTATTATATAACATTTTTAAAAAGCAGATTGGGTGATCTGGCCATAGTGCTTGGCATTTTCATAAGTCATATATAAATGAGAACTGAGGAGTAGCTGCCTTTTTTCTTCGTGAATCCAACTCTTCACCCGGGGTATGCGTATGTATATATTCCTCATTCTTTTGGGCCACCTCCCTCCACTCCGGAAGCCTGTGAGCAAGACCCTTGATGAAATTGATACTTGAGGACTGATATGTAGGTGAGGTTGTCATATGGAAGAAGAAGGAAAGGGGACCAATTATGGAAATAGGGAGAGGCAGAGGAGTCATCCAAGAAACTCAGCAGTTAGTAAGAATGTCTAACCAATTAGTAAGATGTTAGTAAGTTTAGTCTGTTAGTTAGAACACCAGAATACAGCACTGTCATCACACTCAAAGTGACAGGTAGTGTTAATCAGAGAGGGGATGGTCAAACAGTGTCATATTCCCAAAGACTTCTGGTAGGCAGAATGAAAAGAATCTACTAATTTTGTCAATTAGAAGATCACTAATGGCATATATTAATAAAAGTAGTTTCATTCTTATGAATGGGTAGAAATCTACAATAGACAGACGAAATGAGGAAGTCCTTTCTTTTTAAAGATCTTTCATGTAAGGTAGTGATACCTACATGAGGTTCTTTGGGAGGCTATTTTTTTTTTTATTATACAATAAAAAAGTGTTTATTGACCAATGAAAAAGGAGTTCAAGTAGGAGATGCAGCAAATCGAGAAAAGAAAGAAACAACTGATAGAGCCTAGTTCTATCCAGCTGAGACCAAGGGACAACATTTTTTAAAAATATGGAGTGTTTAACAAATTTGTGTGTCATCCTTGTAGAGGGGCCATGCTATTCTTCTTTGTATTGCTCCAATTTTAGTATATATGGTGTTTATTTTAATCACACTCAGGTATGTGATTTTGAAGACTTGCTAGTCTTGATATGCATGTCCCATAAGTTCCTGGAACTCAAAAAGTTTAAAATTAATTTCATCATTTGATTCTACTCATCCCCAAACATATTTTTACTCCTATATTCTCTCTCCTAATTACTTAGTCTCCCAAATTAAAGTCTGAAAGTTATTTTATATTTGTTTTGCTACCACCTATCTATTATTCTCACCTTTCTTGCCATCTCCTATCCAATCACACACAAAGAACTACTGATTCTTCTCTTAAGTTTGTCTGTAGACTATCTTGTATTTTAATCACAGTTCTTTATTTTGTGCTATCCACTAAACTGGAGGCTCTTTGAGGATGAGACTTGTTCTTTATGTTTTTCCTCATTTCAGCTCCTAAAATTATATATAAAACATACTGTAAATATTTTGTAAGTTTTGTAGAGATGAGCTAAATGATCTCCCATTTCACATCCTGCACCCTTGTTTCTTACACTCCAGTCACCCCATATAACCTACTCTTCCTCCAATACCCTGCACTATTACATACCCTTGTATTACTTCTGCCTGGAATGCTCTTCACAATGCATTGTCCACTTGGAAAGTGGACCATGTTCTGAAAAGTTAGTGGAGAAATTAGTGCCTCTGTGAAATTGCCCTTTATTAATCTACTTTTGTGTGCAGACCTTGCTGCAGAATACCAAATACATTTCTTTTTCTATCTAGCACATGACAAAATATTTCTCAGCTTCACTTGTTTGACACAGGCATAGAACATGAGTGGAAAAACTGTGTACACATTTAGGCTTAGAACGTACTTTCTTTCCTGTTGTCATCCTCCGTGCTGTTTTTCACTTTCAGGGGGTTCGTTTAAAGAATGCTTCAAGTGGATCTTGGGAGCTGTGTGTTGAAGATGTTGGAGCTCTTATAAAAAGAGAGCCCAGGCCCCCAAGTCATTGGTTGGTGGAGAGCTGTCCAACCAGCAACTCTTGCACGGGACCATTGTGAGAATGAAAAATAAACTTTTATTATGTTAAACTACTGAGATTTTGGAACTTATCCATTATAGCAACTGCGCGGGCACCATTTGCCACCCCAAAATATGTCTCTTTGGGGTGATTTTAGGCTGATTAATTTTTAAGAAACTACAAACACAGGAGCTCTAAAAACCAAATAGAAGTTACCTTTTTTAAAGAGACATTTACAAGTATAAGGAAAATCTCTCTTTGTAAGGGTGTCTCTCTTGCTGTACCAGGAAGAGAAGGATGACTCAATCTTCAGAAACTATTATCAGTGGAGAAGGCAATGACTTAGATCGGAATAACCTTAACCTTGTTTACTGTGCATGTTCAGGTAATCGCTCATAACTGACTGACCACCCCCAATATCTTGTTTTGTCTTTATCTGAAGATGGTTTTACGGTGATGCCTCTGGCTATTTCAGAGAGTTGCTCAGTTTTTCTGGGGCACTCCATGGATACACGTTACTAAACATTTGATTGCTTTTCTTCTGCTAATCTAATATCAAAGTAGTTATTAGACTAGCCAAGACACCTAGAAAGGAAGACAAAAAACTTCTGCCCCTACAGTTTTGGTAGCCTGGATGGAATTTTTCACTGGCTGGACACTCCTGGCTCTGGGACTGCTGCAGATCTTGGGCCCTTTGACAAAAGGATGGCAGAAAGTAAGGTTCTTACCATATCAGTCTCCAGGATCTCTGCTTGCAGGATTCAGTGGAAATAAGTTTTTTTTTTTTCTTTTCTAACTTAAGCTGGAGAAAATATTTGCAGAATTCGTTCCTTGGGTATGGCAATTCTGGTAAAGATTTGGTGATAAGTATTCTCGTTTTCTAGTCTTTTTCTTCCCAGAGATGGTCACTGTTTTCTATTTTCTATTTAATGACCAGCGAGAATGTTCCCTCTGGCCTTTACCAGTTGGAGGATGCATATTTATCTGACAGGCAGCTGAATAGGCTATGGATCCAAACTTAGGAAATAAAAAAAGAAGGGGGGAGGGATGTGATTCCCTTTGTTTGGAAAAGCCCTTTAAAACTGGGCCCCTTGTAATTAGTGCCTGTGCTTTCAAGACTGATTCTGGGAGTGATCTGTCTGGGTCATGTGAGACCTGCATCTCTTGCATTCTCCTTTGGGATGCTTCTTGCATCCATGGTTAACCCATAAAAAGACTTACTGGTTTGAGTCTTTATTAAGATTAGTAGTAGTAGTTCCTAGTCATCAATGGCCAGATGACAGAACATATACAGAAACTTCTATATATATATATATAAAAAACTTTTTAGAATGCTCTCATTCTAAATAAATATCTTATTGGTACTTATGGAAAGACCAAATTAAAAAGATATATAATAATGGCCAACCTTAGGGACTCTCTTAACAAGATGAAAGAACAGAAATCGGACAGCTTTAGAACAAAAATTAACATTCGCATCCAATGTAAATTCCCCTTCTCAAAATTTGGCTCTGATGCAGGCAGGCCAGGTCCAAGGACCCAGAGGGGAGTCCCGCAGGGCCAGCCAAAAGGGTCGTTGGCTATGCCCAGGACAGAAATTAAACATAATGCAGCAGGAAGTGAAAGCAGAGTTTATCGAAGAGATAGAGAGAGCATATACAGATGGAGCATCTGGGAGATTCAGAAAGGAAAAGAAGAATGAGACTAATCTTTGCTTGACGTCCAGGGTTTTTACTGAGGACAAGGGTCTGGTGTACGTGTCCTATCAGGCATCCAGAAACTGCTCGAATAAGGACAAATGCTCAGGTGTCCTCCACATGTTGCTTATGCCCTAGAGCTAGAGGTCATGGTGAGTCAGTGGTCTTAGAAAATAAACATTAAGACCTGGCCTGGTCACTCCTTAGATGTTATCTATTGTGCTGGAAGACTCTAAAGAAATCATTAACTTGACCTTTATAAGGAGGACAACGTTAAAGTACGTGCAAGGTTGAGATGCAAGTCTTACCAAGAATAGAAGCAGGAAAAGAGCAAAGAAAAAAAAAAGCATTTTTTTCATGGGTTCCCTTCAGTTTCCTTGTCTTAGTTCCATCTGTCTATTTTAACTTTTCTTTCCCTGAAAGATTTGTAGAGAGCACTCCAACCCGAACTCTAGTTCCAAGGATATAGGTTACTCATGTAAATACTGAGACTAGGAAGTGAATTTAGCAGAAGTTCTTGAGACTGGTGGCTGTCTTTGCTTTGCTGTCTCTTCCACTCTCTCGTACTTTCCGGGGCTCCGTACCCAGCCTCTGCCTGCTTCAGGCCTTCCAATGCAATGTCCTATGCTGGACCGCTGTCACAAAGAATTCATGTCTCCCAACATCAACAGGTCTAAATTCTAAAGCCTTTCAGTTGGAAATCTCCTTGAAACAGAGAAATAAATTTAGCTGTTTGGAAAGGTGGGCCAGTTCCTTGATATTCTGGCAGTAATCCTGTTGTTTGGGGAATGGGAAAGGACTATTTTATCTTGCAGATCTCTACAAAACCAGAAATGTGCCTCACTGAACTTTACCAACTACAAACTTCCTTCCATCATCTCAGAATGCTTGCAGATATTGTAAAATTTCAGGAGATTGGAAACAGAATTCTCTTCCACTTAAGGAAGGGGAAAATTTTAACAGTGATTACTTTAGGCCTCTGATAATAGGCAAATACAGCCCAAGACTTCTGGATGAAAACTAGTATATTTCCTCTGTGCCTTTGTGATGCAGATTTTCTACCCCCACATCTCCAGGACTTAAAAGCCATTCTTGGAAATGTAAACATGAGGGAGATGTTTCTCATTAGAAGGAGAAAAAAAAAAAGGCAAGGGAGCAGGAAGGTATTTGGCAATTAGGCTAATGAAAATCTCAAATTTCTTTTCCACTAATGTTAGTAGAAAAACCTTTAGCTATTTGAGCAAGTGGACTTATTCCAACTGCCAAAAAACAAGCAAAAAAAATTGGATTCAAGTATTCTTTTCTGAACTAGTGAGTTTTGCGTTGTGCCTAACTTACGGCTAAAATTTTAAGGCAATAACTGTGTAGGGTCTCTGTGCTGATCTGAATGTTTAAATGTCCCTCTCTCTAGTGTATATATAGTGTATATATATATAGTGTATATATATATAATGTACATATATGTGTATGTGTATATATATAATGTGATATGTTATATTTTTCCACCTCCAGATTGTATTGCCAAAATTATTTGTAAGGCGCTCTATCTCTATTTAATTGGCTTAGAATTAAGTACTTATAAATTAAGTTTTCCTAAATTTCACAGAAATATAACAAACTGACCCAAACGCTTTTCATGTTTATGTGATCTGGAAATATATTTGGTATTGGAGCTAGTTTAAGTTGATTGGTTTAATTAAAGTAGACATGTCTTTAGTTACCATCATTAAATATAATGCAGACATACAACTTTTATTCCATCCGGGTTTACTAGTCAAATAAGCTTATACTATATCTCTATTACAAAATTTATCAGGAAGAAACAGCTAGGGATGATGGCAGACTTTGTTTACTGTCTCATGAAGTTTTCATGGGGAGTCTCAATGTAATTTTTGGGAGCAAGTGAGTTAGATAACTTGTGGGATAAGAATTTAGGTAAGCTTGTTAGCAATAATTATATTGCATGGTAAGTGTACTTAAAAGTAGCTTTTGTTAACCTTAAAATTTTGCCAGTTATTTTACCAGAAAAAGATAGGTTGAGTCAAGAATAGCTGAGAATTGCAATCTGGAACAGCAAGCTATGGCAAACCATAGGCAAGTCTGCCCCCCTAAAAGGAGAAGAATGCTTTTTTAGAGGGCAGTGGGAAATTGGGAGGGTTGTTACCAATAAAATTGGAGGAAATTGGGATGTGGAGGTATACTAGCTTTTTATTGGCTGAGTTGTGACCATCTCTCATTGGGTGGACTATTGCTGAGGGGATGAGGACAGCCTTCCTTCCTCCTGCTGGGATAGTAAAATAGTATCTAAAATTGCATCCGTGTGCAAGGTCTGTCCCTTCTG